TGAAAAGACCGGGAGAAATGACGGCAACTATAAACCCGGCGTGAAACGGAAGATTGACTCATCCGACAGAACTCTCCGCAGCAAAAGTCGCCGAACTGCGGAAGGGCCATCAGCGGCGGAGGAAAAAGTACAAGAAAATTTGAACGGCCAACAACGAGGTCCAAGGAAGGACACGAACAGAAGTTTCCCGGTTCCACCAAGACCAGCTGCCTTCAAACGGCCAAGACCACAAGCAGAGGAGAAGAAGGAAGATTTCGGGTGGCCGTACTGGTGAAAAAACGAAGCTTCCAGAGGAAAGCACTGAAGGGCGAGCCCGTACAAGAAGGAGGATAAACCAAAGCTACGGTCTGCAGCAACCTTTAAAGACTGGGCCCAGAAAAGGATGTCCTGAATATTACAAAGATAAGTAAAATTTTATGTTACTTTACAAACTTAAGTTAATCTTTCATTCTTACTGCAAGTGGCAGATTTCAAGAGTTTTTACCTCATGCGAGGTCTACCTTTATCGCCAAAAGGGCGAGAAATGATTGTGACCGATTTTGGTATTATGTTTTTTCAATTACTCGCGCTCGCGCGTAAAACTAAAGTTGATGTATAATAGCGTTGTGTAAAGACTTAAATATTGTAAAAGTTATTGTATAAATTTTATTTAAAACATTCTAACAAGAAAGAAGTTTTAGTCTGAAAGACTTTTTGAAATAGTATTATTTCAATGTAGAAAGAATTGGCACTTGCTTTGAAAAGAATAGAAGTTAACAATGTACTACTAATGTATGTTTTCAAATGTGTAAAATTAACGGCATCTTGATATGTTCTTGTATACATGTGAACTGTTATTTTTGAATGTTAAGAAATACCGTGATATGGTAAAAGTGAAAGTAATGTTAAAAATTTGTTATTCGTGTGACTGTAAAGATTAATCATGACGAATATATGTTAAAGGTTGAATGATGTAGTTAGGCTCTCTGACGCTACACTTTAGAGTTAGCCACTTTCAGAATAGTACCTCAGGTGTTAGAGTTGAAATTAGGGGTGTGTTAAGAGGTCTCGTATGTTGAATTTTAACACGTTAGTGTTTTGATTGTAGGAGGAAGTGTGGCACACATAGACAGAAACACATTCGTGTTTGGTGTTTTTACAACACATGTCAGAGAGCACGGGGAGAGATAATTAAAATAGTCATGAATGAAATAAGAATGTTAAGAATAATTATATATTTATTGCCAATTGTCATGTGTAACATTTCATTAAACTTTTTTCCTTCCAGATCTCTGGAAGGAACCAGAATTGAATAAAGCTCCTGTTTTGATGCAGTACAGATGAAAAAAAAATTGTTGTATATTCCTGGAGCTGCTATTGTAACAAATTTCTTCTTTTAAATTTCTAGGTTTCTAGCTAAGTTATGTTTGTAAAAGATTGGCCTCGCGTTAGTTTCTAGAGCTAAAGTTTTCAACAAGGTCGTTTTAGACCTCAGTTTCAAACTAATTAACTCTGGCGGGAAGTGTACGGATCTTAAGTTTTACTAACGTTTATTTTATTTTAAATCTTTACTATCACTTCTTATTTTCTACTTCCGGCCAGAATTATAAGCGTGAAGGTTTTTATGCAAAGTTGTCTGGCGAACGCCAAGTATTTAAGTTGTGGCCTTTTGCCAAGCAGAAGAGAGGAAGCCGTGAGTTCGAACGCAGGCCGCTTACCTTAGAAGTTACGCAGTTGCTACTTTGCCTTCCAGGCCAGAGGTTTTAATCCTCTTGATATTTAAACGTATTGTAGTGTTCGCAGTCTCTTGCACACATACGCTTCCTGTTATTATAAGGCCAATTATATTCTAAAGTTAATTAGAGTTAGTAGTTTATTTTGATATCTTTTACGTTAGACCCCGAGTGGAGGGTCATTGTATTCCGAAGTACGGAATCATTGTATATAAAGAAAAAATAAAGGGTTTTGTATACCCTTCGTCTGTATCCTGTCTACTTACTACAATTAGTGAACATAGCTTAGTAAGCTCTCTGTTCTAGTCAGGTATTGTATGTTCCGAAGAAGGTTAGAAGCATGAACTGATAGTATGGTTGGTCCGGTGCTCCCTTCTTAGCAATGAGGAACTAAAACAGCTTTCATTAGACGAAGAGAGTAATTTTCCTTTGGCAGCACCTGTGTTACATGAAAATTTCTATATGGATGATGTGTTATGCGGAGCGTCGACGTTATAAGAAGCTAAGGAGTTACAACAGCAGCTTATATCGATTTTGCAAAGCGCAGGCATGCAGTTGCATAAATGGTGTGCGAATCATTCGGAACTTTCTCTAAACCGGGAAGAATACAACTTCTCCGATCCAACTGAAACGAAAACCTTGGGCGTGTTATGGAATCCAATAAAGGATTGCTTTTCCTTCAGAGTTAAAGTACAGCCTTGTGTATCATATACTAAGAGATGTGTCTTATCGTCGATTGCCTAGAATATTTGATCCTTTGGGTATTCTTGGTCCAGTTATAGCCAAAGCAAAGATTTTCATGCAGAAGCTGTGGCGTCTTAAAATTGATTGGAGTGATAGACTTCCTACTGCTGAAAATCAGGAATGGCATCAATTTCTTGTTACACTAGAGAGCATAAACAGTATCGATATTGACAGACGTATAGTGATTGATCAAGCAAAAACAGTCGAGATCCATGGTTTTGCAGATGCTTCTGAACGTTGTTTTGGAGCAGCAGTTTATTGCAAGTCCATTGATTCTTCTGGGAGAACATTGGTAAAATTAATCTCGAGTAAATCAAGAGTTGCTTCTCTTAAAATCCTAACGATTCCCAGGCTTGAGCTATGTGCAGCTGTCGTATTATCAAAGTTGGTGAAAAAGATCCTTATTGCCTTGACATTAGAAGTGACTCAAGTCTACTTATGGGCAGATTCAATGATAGTTCTCGCATGGATACAAAAGGAACCTATGGACCTTAAAACGTTTGTTCAGCATAGAATGGCCAAAATTCAAGAACTTTCATCTGTTCAACAGTGGCATCATGTGGCATCGGATCAGAATCCGGCGGATCTCCTGTCACGGGGTGTAGATCCTGATAAGCTGGTGCATCGTAAATTGTGGTGGTATGGTCCAGCGTTTCTGGTAGACTAGTGACTATCCAACTCGAACAGTAACTATCTCGGATAAAAGTGAGGACTTCAGTGCCGAACTCAAAACCCCGAATCATAAATATCATAAAGACACTTTACCAGTGTTGAATGTCGACTATGAATGATTTTTTACATAATTTGCTTAAATTGAGTAATAATTTTATAACTATTCTTACGTGTTATTAGTTATATTTTAAGGTTTGTGAATAATTTGAAAAAGCCCTTAGAACAGATTGTCAGGACTAATTAGTGTGCAGGAAATAATCAAAGCAGAATTGTTCCTGACAAAAGAAACACTCGAAAGGAAGGCTTTGGCGAAGACATCCGCCAATTAATGAGGCACGGAACTGTCTTACATAAAAGTAAGTTAAAGAATCTGTATCCCTTTCTGGAATCTGATTTAGTTCTCAGAGTAGGAGGCCGTTTAGGTAAGACAAATCTTACTTATTTTGCAAAACATCCGGCAATATTACTTAAAGTTCACAAATTTACGTTATTAGTTATTGAAAATTGTCACAAAAGATTTTTGCATGTGGGTGCAACCGCATTATTAAGTCGCGTGCGCGAAAAGCTCCGGCCATTAAATGGTCGTTCTATTTGTCGTAAAGTTGTACATGATTGTATTGTATTGTTTTAAAAACAAACCAGTTGTGTGTAAACAAATAATGGGAAGTCTCCCATCAGACAGAGTTGTACCAGATTATCCTTTTTTAGTAGTGATTGGTCTATTTTTTTATAAGATATCGTAACCAAAAAAAAAAAAGGAATTTTACATAAAATTTATGTTTGCATATTTTTATGTTTTGTGTCAAAGGCAGTGCATATCGAAATGGTGACAGATCTAACTTCCGAAGCCTTTATAGCTGCGTTAAAGAGATTTATATCTCGAATGGGTAAATGCGCAAAATTATATTTGGACAATGCCACAAATTTCGCTGGTGCCAACAAAGAAATAAAAAGACTTCATAACTTAGTTAAAATCCCAAATGAAACTTTAGCTAATTATTTATCTGCTGAGAATATTGAATGGAAATTCATACCACCCGGGGCACCCAATTTCGGAGGCCTTTGGGAAGCTGCAGTTAAGTCATTTAAATACCATTTTAGAGTTGTAGGCAGGCAAATTTAACGTATGAGGAGTTTTTAACAGTAATATACAGATGAGGGATTTAAATTCAAGACCTCTGTCCGTTAACAGCTAACGAAGATGATTTTGGAGTTTTAACTCCTGTGCATTTTTTGATAAATAGATCAATAAATTCAGTTATTGAGCCTGATTTAACCAATTTAAATGAAAATCGACTTAAGAAATGGCAGAGAATAACAAGAATCGTGCAGTTGATTTGAAAAAAAAATGGCACCATAGTTACTTAAATAACTGAAACAATGAAATAAATGGAGATTTGAAAAAGATAATATCACATAGGAGACTTAGTGTTATTGGTAGAAGATAATGTACCAACTCACAAATGGGTTGTAGGTTGAATAATTGGTGTGTATTATGGTGATGATAAAAAAATTTGGGTTGTTGAAATTAAAACTAAAGCAGGTGTATTCAAAAGATGTATTTCCACAAAATCTGTGTTTTACCTATGCCTGAATGAAACTTGTTATATATTAAGTGTATAAGAGATTTTGTATATGTTAATTTTTATGAGAATTATTTCTTGTGTTATGTATTGTATTATGGCTAAAGTACTATGTTACATAGTTATGTTATTGTAGTGTTATAATTTTGTAAAGTACTGTGAAATGTCTCATATAGTTTAGTGATTGAATGTTTTATAAACATTTCAATGCCGGGGTGCTTGTTTGCACATGCTCTAGTGGCAGCAGTGCCCTCGATCGGAGAGCGGCAGAGATGAGATGAAGAGAATTGCTGTGAACCGCCATGTGAGTGATATGTGAACTAAGTTTGAAGTTAGCAATAAACAGTTATAGCTGTAAAAGAGTAAATGTGATTATTTTGTGTAGAGTATTCTTAACATATATAGTGCAGTAAATTACCATAGAATTTCTCTGGTGACTTGTGCGTAAGAAAATGCTTTATTTCTAAGCAGAACTTGAAAATTTGTCTGTTTAATAGCATATTTAATGTATGATTTTCTGTGGCTGTTGCTGATATTTTTTTCAAAAGGATTCATAGTGCTTTTGAAAAGGCATGTTGAAGGGATTTCAGGGCCCTCCTTCAGCAAAGGAGCTCTAGCAGCCCTTCTAAAGTTTTCAGTTTTTTGTAGAAGGGCTTATATTAGCCATTCTTAAAATGAATAAAATTTTATGCCTGTATGTGTTCTCCCCTAATTTTACATGTCCTGAATAAACAGGCTAAATGAAGAGACAAACACATATAAACAGCAGGTATTTTTTTCAAAAGATGAAATGCAGCTAAAAGTAACTGAAGAGGAAACAGCAGTTAATGCTGTAAATAAAAATGTACTCATGGTGCCCTTTTTAAAATTAAATTTTTGTTGCTGTTCTAACCATCTGAACTATTTTTTTCCACAGATTCTTTTTTCCCCTTGTCATTGTTAGCGATCCTACCAAATTTGGTAATTCCAGCTGATAGATCGAGGTTCCGATAGCTCTAAGTAGTGTCAGATTAAAAAAAAAAAAAAAAAACTTTGCAGTTTAACAAATTTCATTTAGCAGTTTCCAAAACAAGTTACTTTCTTTAACCAAATAAATTAGAGATATATTAAAAAACTGCATTCCTTAACCAATTGAATTACAGATGTGTTAAGAAACTTTTGTGTAATATTAATAGAAGTTCATTAGAATTTCAATGAAAGTCTAAAATCTGAATTTTAATTTCAGTGAATTCAAAATTTAAATGCAGATTTTAGTTTCAGCATGTAAAATTTTAAAATGTGAAAAGAACTAATCTCGTTGTTATATTTTTCTTATCAGGTTTACTTTTAGTCCTTTCTTAATTTTGAGTACAGTCTTATTTTTCTATTAGCTTATTCATGCTGTTCTTCGCTATGGTCAAAAATTTGTCATTGATTTATAGACTGTTTCCTGGTGAGCTGTTGTGCTAAAATTTTCGCCCTCATTCTTTGTGAATGACTAAAATGTGGTGAAGTCATATTTTTCAAAATTCAATGTAGATTTTTAAATTAATAACATTGAAATAATTTATTACAAGTATTTTCATTTAACAAACAGACTAAATATTTCGGGGTTTTACTGTTTGAATTGTTGGACAAAGTGGGAAGAAAATTTTTAACATAATTTGTGATTTTTGTTGAATTTTAAATGTTTGCTAGAATTTTTTGATTATTTGACATACAATATTTAAAAATTTTGAGATCTAAAAATGTATCTGTTTTAAAGCTGCACTGTGGCTTAGAGCAGAAGTGTGAAAATTTAATGAGATACAACTGTTGTTCAGTATTAATACAGTTCAGCAACATTACTGTTACAAGACTCTACCTGAATTTTGTTCATTCAGTCGGTATTCCATTAAAAGAAACGTAAAGAGAAATTATAATTAAGTAATATGGGCAATCTACCCAATTAATTCACTGTAAAACAGGCATTCCACTTAAATTAATTTACTATAAAACAGGCAATCCACCTTAATGCAAAGTCATGGTGCATTTTACTTTATTCTAAACATAAAAACGATACAATGTTGCCAAACCGTAAAAATTTAACCTTTTAAGAAATTACATTTATACAATCGTTGAGTTGCTCGCGACATCTCCTCCCACCTTTTGATTTATGGTGGGCGGAACATAAATCAAAATACAATATACTTAATAACGAGACTGAAGAATACTTAGTATAATCATAAAAGGAAAACAACTAATTAAAACGCGAAGGTTTTACAATAGTTCTACCCCATCTAGTTTTAATTATCTTATCAGGAGGTTTAAAGTTAATTTTTTTACTAGCAGGAATGTTAAATTGGTTTTGTTTAGGTAAAATCAAGTTTTCGTTGTCCATCACTTCCAAAGGACGGATCAATTCACCTGCAGCTGTTTCCACCTTTGCCACTCTAACACAATTACCTTGCCTCTGGAATAGTTCAATAACTCGACCCAATGGCCAGTCCAATCTTTTTTTGTTGTCACTTCCCATAAGTACCACATCTCCTAAATATATTTGTCTTCGAGTAGCTTTATTATCTCTGGACTGAATTAGGAGACTCAAATATTCATCTCTAAACCTTTTTCTGAGATCTTGTTGTAATTTCTGCTGATATCTATATCTCTTAGTGATATTGACTTCATCTATATGGTCTAAGTCCAGAACTCCCACCGTTCTTATATCCTGAATGAACATAGAGGGTGTTAAAGGCATTAAATCTTCAGGATCTTCAGACAAATAATTTAACGGTCTTGCGTTGATTACAGCTTCCGTATCGCAGAAAATGGTACACAGCTCCTCAAGCAGGCTCTTCCTAATATTCTTCTCAAAATTTTCCTTTTTTTTTGATTACATGAGATTGAACTTCCATGTAATCTTCAAAATAGAACATTCTTGCATAATTTTGCTCCAATCGAGTGAAAGAAAGAGGTTGTTAGTCCCAACAAAGTTCGTACCTTTGTCACTATACATAGTTTTTGGTCGTCCACGTCTGGCTATGAACCTTTTGAAGCCCAACAAAAAATCTTCGGTGGAAAGTCCTTGCATCAGTTCAAGATGTATGGCATTATAAACAGCACAGGTGAATAAAAGTATCCAGCTTTTCTTTCCATCCTTTAGATGAAGAGGTCCAGATAAGTCTACTCCAGTTACTTCAAAAACCAGAGCGTCTCGGACCCTATCTTCAGGCAGTGGGGCTGGAACTGTTTCGATTTTTTTTGCATTATATCTTTTGCATCGAATGCATTTTGCGATTACCCTTTGAACTGTTTTGCATCCTCTTAAAATCCAAAACCGTTGACGAATATCTGTCAAAACAATTTGAACTCCAGCTTGTAAAAGTACTGTATGTCTTACGAAAATTAACTTTTCTACAATTTGATGATCAGAAGGTAAAAGTATGGGACACACGAAATAATTTGTATCATCTCTTCGAAAGATTTTTGTCTTCAGTCTCATTAAGCCTTCTTTATCAGTGAAAATGTAAAGAGTTTTCAACTTTGATTTTGTAGATTCGTTTTGGAAAGATTCTTTCTGAACAATTAAGAAAAGCCTTTTCTTAGCTGCTATTATTTCCTGCACAAATAATTCTTCCTTCAGTTTATGATCGGAATTTCTAGAATTATGAAAGAAGCGCAGAATCCAAGCTATCAGCCGAATGATTCTTGAATATTTAGAAAAACAGTGCAAGTACCATTTTTCGTTAGGAGCAATTGAGGTAGCTAAGGCAGTTATTCCCTTTTTTCTTTCTTTAGAAACGTCTTCCATATTTAATTTAATTTCAGAGACGGGTCAATTTTCTTCAGGCTGTTTAAGCCACGGAGGACCCTCCCACCATCTGAATCTGAGCAGAACATCCTCTGGATGGGAGATCAGCCGGATTGTCGCTTCCTTGAATATGCTTCCATTGTTCCTTTGAGGTTAAATTTCTTATCTCCTTCACTTGATTATGTAAAAATATTCCCCAGTTATCTTCATGCTTGATCCAGAACATAATGGTAGAGGAGTCAGTCCAACAGGTACTTGATATTCCCTTCAAATCCATCGCTTCTTTCACTGTTGCAGTGAGACGAGCTCCGATGAAGCATGCTAGCAATTCTAATCGAGGCATCGTTATCTTTGTTAAAGGAGCCACTGTACTTTTAGCTTCAATCAAATGAACTTTTACCCCTTTCTCACACTCGCTTCATAGAAATACGATTGCGCCATAGGTGGACTTGCTCGCATCACAAAATTATAAAAACTCAATTTTTCTTCCGGGACATTCCTTTGGACGTATCTTGGAATTTTGATCTCTGTTAACAGATGTAAATCTTCAAGCCATTTATTGAACTCCACGCGAATATCTTTTGGACAGGTTTCATCCCAACCAATCTTCAGGTTCCAGCTATTCTGTATTAACAGTTTCAAACGAATCGTTACTGGATACAGAATTCCTATAGGATCGAAGATGCTGTGAACTGTCGAAAGAACATATTTTCTAGTAATGGTTTTTTGCTTGAAATCAATTTTTTCAAGATCGCACAAAACAGAACATCTTTAGTTTTATCCCATAATAATCCAAGAACAGGGACAAGTTTTTTTTTTGAACTTTTCTTCACCTGTTAGACTGGAATGTTCCCAACCTCTTAAATCGAAACAACCCGTAGCCAGAATCTGTTTTGCTTCAAAAATGAATTTTTTTAAGTTCATCTTGACTAGTTACTGAAGTTATGCAGTTATCCACATAGAATGCATTCCTCCGCTTTTCTATGGTTTCAGGAAAATGGCTTTCATTTTGTTCCAAATGGTAATCTAGAACGGCAGCTAGTAAGAAAGGGCTGCTCGTAAGTCCAAACACTACTCGTCGGTGACGATAAATTTTTTGTTTTCTTTCCTTATAATCTTCTCATCATATGAATCTAAGAAAATCTTGGTCTTCTTTGGCCACAGATATCTGTAAAAAGGCTTTTTTTATACCCGAAACTACACCAATTTCTTTCTGACGAAATCTCATAAGTAATGGAGGAATTTTTTCGATAAGATTTGGTCCTGTTTCTAGACAGTTGTTAAGTGAAAGTGAGTTCTTACTTACTACTACTTCAAATACAGGGCGTACCTTCGTAGTAGAATTTTGTTTAAAAATACCTCTATGAGGCAAATAATGACAAGGATTTCCCAATTCACTATCTGGTACTTCTTCGATGATAGTTTCCTGTAACCATTCCTTAAATACAGTTTCATAGTCATCGTATTTTCCTTCTTTAAGAAGTTTCTGAGTAGTAGTTATGCATCTTTTTTCAGCTATATCTTTGTTTTCACTTAACATTTCTAACCAAGGTAGTTTGACGATGTAACGGCCATTTTCATCTCTCTGAACGGTTTTTCGAAAATGCTGAAGAATGGACTGTCCGTTTCTTCTTTAGTCTTGTTTCAGTAGGATCCTTTATACCTATAGTATCTAATTTCCAAAAATCAGCCACAGAAAAATTTTTCATCAGTAAAGACGTCACTAAGTGGGATGAAGTTTCGTCAAAGCTTTCTTCGGACATGTTTCCATTTATAACCCATCCTAAATAAGTTTCACCAATCAAATTGGTTTCAATGTACATATTCTTCCGTAAATATATTACCACAATAATCTGCACCTATAAACAGATCAACATATCAGACAACCTTCTCCATAGTCAGTGAGCCCAAATTTTATTTTCTCTATCTCTAACTTTTTATATAAAGGTCTCTTCTCAACCGAGGAATGTTGCCACAAATGATCTGTTGATCCAGAACCTTTATGTTACAGGAGAAGTCTCTTTCAAAATATCAGGTTAAGATAAGAAATTTTCTCATTGTAATTCTGAAAAGAATTTAATTCTCTGGTAGGCTTCAAACCTAGTTTCTTAGCTGTTTCTTTAAGAATATTGTGAGCCATTGTCAATAAGTACACTTACTTGTAGCTCTTTCCCTTTAGTCTTCAGTTTCACTTGCAACATTTGAAGTAATATTTCATCAGAAGTGCATAAGTTAGACGAACTAACATCAGACGACAACGTCTTCTCAAGTTCCTGTACGTCACCTTTCATCTTGTTTCCAGGGAGTTCTCGGCACATCAAAATCGAATGTTTTTTACTGCAAAGGACACATTTGATGTTGGAATTGCAAAATTTAGAATGATGTCCAATTTTTAAACAGACAAAACAGGCTTTTTTGTTTTTTTAAAATGTCTTGTTTTTTTTGAAACTTGAGTTTACGTGCAGTAAAGCAATCTTTACTTTCATGCAATTTATCACAAAATATACAAACATTTTTTCTTTTATTCTCTGTTGTTCCTGCAAACTAATCTGCTGCCGTCGGTGGATTACTAGGAACAGAACACTGTATTTTTACCTTCTGAAATTTGTGTTCCTTACTAACAAATCCCTTTGCTAAATGAATATGTTCTTCCCCTTCAACTTCAGCTTTCAGGAACAATAATAAATTTTTAAATTTCTTCCCATAAGCATTTTTTTCAGAAGAATCGAATTTGTTGTTAACTATAGGGTTTCTTAACCAAACTCTAAAAATGTCTTCCAGAATACAGTCAAAAGTTGTTAATCTGGATTCGTCGGGACTTCGGCGATTCCAGATTATCGGTTTTTCCGGATTATAGATCATCAGTTTAAATCTGGTAAAATGGCATGCAGAAATTATAAAATAAAAATATGAAACCATAATTTACGAAATAAAGAACAATTATGATCTAAAGGGTATCAAAATTTCAAAAAAAAAAAAAAAAAAAAAAAAAGCTTAATATTTATTGTTTACTTTATTAAACATTTATTTCAATGTAAGTTGTTTAAGTTGCTTCGTTTTTATGTGATATACATTCTCTTTAATTCTTTAAACAGACATAATTTCTTGTTCAGTTACAAAGTTCTGCTGTTCAAGTCCTATAATTGCTGTGTCGAGAATACCGACTAATTTGTCAATCGAAATTTTTTCGTTTTCAATAACCTCTGTTACGTTCTTCGCTATCGGAAGCGAATTATAATGACGAGGCATTTGATTTAAATCATATCAAAGACGGAGTACATCGAGATGAAATACTACATTTAGTAAGCAATTATAAGCCAAATAAAATAAAAACATCTGCCTTTAAGATAAGGATAGTGTTGACAGATCAACTTCCAATTCATTGTGCTCCGTGGCGTTAAAGATAAACAAACGTTAAAGTTTAGATAAACAAAGATATGCATTTATCCATTTTTGCAGCAATTCCACTTTTTGTTTAATGGACTCCGAAACATTACTTTCGCTTTGTAGATCCATTACATATTAGTTAATATATATCGGAAATTCTATTTGACATAATCGAAAGTTCAAGCTTACTTTTATAAAATATATCCAATTTGAAGACTAAGGAACAACGCAATCTGCAACATTAACCGAAATAGATAATTAGATAATTTTAGCTTAGCTTATCCTGTCCGTTATACATTAAACGCGCATTCGTAAACGTATTTTATGCACGTGCACACGCAAATTCGCAGCCGTAAAGGTCTTACACGCGTGCGTCAACGCGACGCATGCGCAGAAAGTTTGTAGCTTTGAGGTTCGGACTATGGATCATTCCGTGACGCGTGTGCAGAAAGTTTGTAGCTTCGAGGTCCGGATTATAGATCATTCCGGATTATGGGTGTCCGAATTAACGATTTTTGACTGTACACGATTCTACAAGAGGGAAAAGTATCGCTGAATATGTATCGGATGTTAAGCCTATGGATTCCAAGGCTCTTCGATGTGATTCTAATTTATAATATAATTTCGACGTGTCTAACTTTCTCTTTTCTTCGGTAACAGTTTTTACAGCAAGATTTAAGAGTTCGCGTATATAAAATTCAGTTGGTAATTCCTCCCTGCTGAATCTTGATTTTAAACATGCAATAGCTTTATCATAATTTTCACATGTCAGTGGGTAACTATCGACAATATCACGAGCTCTAGAGCCTTCAGTCATACATCAAATTAAATATTGAAATTTATCATCTTTTGAAATACTTTCATCGTCATGTATTCTTTTGAACTGGCTCCAAATGGCAAGTCAACCTTTGATTTCCCCGTCAAATTTCAAAAGTTTGATCTCTGGTAACTTTAACTTTCGTTTTTGAACAGGCCAAGAATCAACAGAACTTTCGGTTTTAGAAATTCTATTTAAATACATTTCTACGTTTACTTCCGCTTTTACGAAATTTTCATTATATTCTTCTGTTATCGCATACTCGTTCTGATACTTTTTATCGTCTGTTTCTTCTAATAATAAAGAGCTTATTTCCTGATCTATTTCAGTTAGCTGACAATAAATTCTATGTAAATTAGCAAAGTTAGATGTAATGTTCTCTTCTTTAACATTATCTGCCTTTAATAAATCATTCAAACCATTTAAACATTTTGTGAAGTTAGCTCTTATAGGTGAGCGTTTTTTAACAAGTAATTCCATTTTCAGAATAATAGGTAATTCAAAATAACATACCTTTAATATCACGTCATACGGTCACCATGTTACGAGACTCTACTTGAATTTTGTTCATTCAGTCGGTACTCCATTAAGAGAAACGTAAAGAGAAATTATAATTAAGTAATATGGGCAATCCACCCAATTAATTCACTGTAAAACTGGCATTCCACCTTAATTAATTTTACTATAAAACAGGCAATCCACCTTAATGCAAAGTCATGGTGCATTTTACTTTATTCTAAACATAAAACGATGCAATGTTGCCAAACCGTAAAAATTTAACCTTTTAAGAAATTACATTTATACAATTGTTGAGTTGCTCGCGACAAGTACAGAGATAAAATACTGAATAAGGAGACTGCTTGTGTGATTTTCACAAAATTGGCCGGAGTCCATCCTCTAAATGGCTTACTGAGCTGTAAAGGAGACAGGTGATAACAAGATACTCAAATTGAAACTTGTTGAAATTTAAAGACAACCTACATTTGTAACTCTTTTTACCTGTCTAATGAATGAGACATGAAAGTCAATTTTTCGAAGATGCTTTTACTTTGCAATTTTTGTCACTTTCAATAGTTCCAAATTCTAGGAAACACAGTTAACTTCACAGAAAGGGAAAAAAAATAAATATTCTAAAATTCATTTTTCATTTATAAATGTTTTTGTCATTTTATTTGCTTCTTACTTTACAACATGTTAATCACAGTTTGCATTCATCTCATAAATTTGTATCTTCAGACTTATACTTTGGATGCTGAATTACCATATCATGTATCTCATACATGCCAACCAACTGTTCTTTTGCCACATCCACCACATAGCCCCGACGTTGCTCCTTCGGACTTCTGCCTGCAGCTATATCTTGCTATTGCTATCTTTCGTTCTGCACAGGGTGTTTGAAATGAGGTTGATCTGTTTTTGGACTTGCGGCCGCCAAGTTTCTGTATCAAAGGCTTTGAAAGACTGTTATAAAATCAACAAGCAAAGTGATGGCTAATTGAATTTTTGGACTTTATTAACAAAAAAGGTAAAGATAACTTACGTGCGTCTTATTCTTTACATAAAACTTTTAGAACGACGAAAATAATAGTGACGCCAGATGTATAACTGCATGTTTATGTATAATAGATAAATTTCCACTAAGTGGTCCATTTCTAAGACATGCTGGAATTTGCTGACATCAACTTGAGAACTGAAGTTTCACTTTCATCTGTTCTTTACTTGATGAATACTTTCCCATCCATTACTGATGAAAAATATCTTAATCAAGTGGAAATTGAATTTTCTATGTATCCAGTATATGATTTGAAAGAAATTGTAGATTTGCATATTGATATAGCATGGGGAGAAATTGCCAAATTAAAAAATATGAATGGGTGTATTAAATACAAAGTATTGCCTATTGTAATGCTTGTTGTCTTAATAATACCTCATTCAAATGCTGCTTGGGAAAGAATTCTTTCTATTGTTTAAAAAAATTCAGAAGGAATTTCGACTAAATTTAGGTCCTAAAACTCTCGAAGCAGTTTTGATTGAAAAAATAAATATGCAGGCAAACTACTAACTGTGTTATAAAAAAATATTCTCAAAATCAGAACTTAAACTTGCTAAGTATAAATCTTTGCTTAAAATGCTGCATATAAATCTTTGCATTCGTAAATTATAACAGTGGGGGCAAAATGCCTTAGTTCAGACACTTTTTCCTCACTACAGCTGGGGCACTTTTTACCACTATAGTTAAGGCACTTTTCCCACTCTTGTTGAAGTACTTTCCACCCACTATAGTTAAGGCACTTTTCCCTATAGTTGGGCATTTTCCACCCACAGTAGTCCAGGCACTTTTGCCCCGCTCTAGCTCGGGTACTTTTCCCCACTATATTTGGGGCAATTTTTTTTCCAACTATAGTAGGGCACTTTTTCCCACTATAGTTATGGCATTTTCTCCCGCTCTTATTTGGGGAAGTTTTTTTCCAACAATATTTAGGGTGTATTTGCCACTATAGTTAGGGCATTTTTTTTCCCGCTATAGATAAGGCACTTTTCCCCCACTATAGTTCAAGAACGTTTTTCCACTACAGTTGGAGCACTTTTCTCCCCACTGTAGTTTGGGCAATTTCTATCCCACCCTAGTTGGGGCATCCTTTTTCCCACTAAAGTTGAGAAACTTTCATTCCCATTACAGTTGGGGCATTTTTTGCTACTATAGTTGCTGCATTTTTCCAGGGCACTTTTCTCCCACTGTAGTTGAAGCCCACTATAGTTAAAGCGTTTTTCCTTCTGTATAGTTAAGGCATTTTTCCCATTATACTTGGGGAACTTATTTCCAATTATAATTTGAGCACTTTTCCCTTTATAGTTGAGGCATTTTTTCGGAATCTGTCTGGAGCACCTTTTTTCCCACCATAGTTGGGGAACTTTTTCCCACTATAGTTGTGGCTTTTTTCTGAATATGGTGGTTGGGGTTCTTTTTTTCGCATCATAATTGGAGTGTTCCCCCAATATATTTGGGGCATTTTTTCCCTACTATAGTTGTAGCATTTCTTTGCACTATATTATAGTTGGGGCATATTATCTCACTACAGTTGGGGCACTTTTTCCCACTATAGTTAAGACATTTTTGGCCACTACAGTTGGAGCATTTTTTTCCACTATAGTTTGGGTACTTTTTCCCCCAATGTAATTTTGTCACTTTTCTCCACTATAGTCGGATCATTTTTTCCCCACTATAGTTTGGGCACTTTTTCCCACTATAGTTGAGGCACCTTTTCCCCCACTATAGTTAAAGCATTTTCCCTCTGCTATAGTTAAAGTGCTTTTCCTTCACTATAGTTAAGGCATTTTTCCCACTATAGTTCGGGTATTTTCCCCCCACTATGGTTGGGGCCTTTTTTCCTACTATAGTTAGGGTATTTTCCCTATATAGTTGGGCACTTTTCCCACTATATTTGGGGCATTTTTTCCAACTATAGTTAGGTCACTTTCCCCCATTATAGTTGAGGCACTTTTTCTCACTATAGTTGGGATGCTTTTTTCCCACTATAGTTGAGGCACTTTTTTCCCACTATAGTTGAGGAACTTTTTTCCCTGCAGTTGGGCCACTTCATTGGCACTGAATGAATTATGAGTGTGGAAATTGTTTCGTTTTTATTAGGGGGAAGAAAATGTTTTTCAGGCATCTCTTTGAGTAAGAGAAATTTAGTGAAGTTCATTTGCAACTTTCGATTTCCCATTTTAGAAATATGAGATCTTTTGACATTAAAAATTTCTTTATCTGCTTTCTGACGAGCAAAATCAAGCATTATATTCCTAGGAATACATTTAATTTAGAATTCGAAATTCGAACAGGTTGTAAATTTAACAGTTGATGCCTGTATGAATCAATAAGATTTTTCCAACCAAAACTTTCTTTAAGACTTTTAAGTGAATTTTGAAAAAGACTTTTAAGTGATTTTTCAAAATTCATGTCATAATTCTCAGGAGATAATAAAAATCCTGTGACAGTTTTTAAAGCCGCACCACTTAATAAACTAAGCAATTGAATTTATCAACTTGAGATAACTTTTCATTTTGGTTTATTGCCATATCAAAAGTATACTAAAAATCTTGCCACTCTTCAGCATTTTCACAAAATTTATCAATTATAATTTTTGGAAAATTAACATCATAATCAGAACTTTTATTAACACCACCAGAATAGTAGATACTTTACTATTATCAAGAAAAGAGCTATTGGACACTATGAATAATTGACATTTCCTTTTCCATTTAATAATTTTGCACCTCTGAAATTCCATTTTACAATTTTTTCATCGTATTCAAGGGCACTTTTGATTCCAATTTACATAAGTTAAATTTTTTATTTTTTCATCTAAAGCTTTCAAAGAAACCGCTTTTACCTTTAAAATTTCTATTTGTTGTTCTATGTCTTCAGTATTACAAGAAACAATTAAAGATTCAGTGGAACCTGTTACTTTAATCTTTAGTTAAATTGGAAATCTTTAGTTATGGCTGAATGAATAACATCATTCTTAAATTTTGAAAATTCTGCTTGAGCCATTTCTGTTATGTTTTAACTTCAGTTTCCAGCAAAATAAATTGAACAAAATATTTTTTACCTTTTTTGACAAATCACTTATACTTGACTGGGATGTTCGTAATCCATTATAAATATATTCCCCTTCTAACACCATTGTCATATATCCATCGTGAGGTGGGTTCTAAATGTATTTAACACGCTTTATGGGAGTATTTTCATATAGTATATGTATGAATAGGACAAACACTTTATTATAACATGAACAAAACAAATATAATTTAGATAAGATTCATAATATAATATTCCACTGAAATATAGCATGCAATGTTTATTATCGTGACATTCTCTTGTGTCACATGAAGGAGAAGCGAAAATGAGTGCTGTTCAGCTAAAGCATGCACGCATGGTGTTCATCAAATCATCACAAAGCCCACTTTTTTGCCCAATTTTGATATATAATTAGATATATAATTTTTTTAACATGTGAAGAAGTTATTTGAAGTACTTTAAAAAATACTTTGTATTTCCTTGATAAGTTGCTTGAATAACATTTGTCTTCCTAATTATTTTAATGAAACAAGAAATCTAGACCAACACTCAATAGCGAGTAACATCTAGAAAAATATAACTTTACTTTTATAGAATTTAAGTTGCCATTTCACTCAGAAATCAGCAGTTTTTGTTGATTATAACTGAAATGCTTGCTTATTAAATAACATTACTTAATGGGTATAATCAGTTATAGCCATAAGTGTTTTTATCGCAAAGGGACGGGCAAAATCCTCAGGGGAGTCTCCGGAAATTTTGCATCAACATTTTTATGAAAAATGGTTTTGTTTAGAATTTACATTAGCATTTTTGTCACCCAGGCAGGAAAGTGGTTAGTGACTCTGACTGCCGTACTGAAGGGCTTGGGTTCGAATCCTGGAGAAGGTGTAGATATAAATTAGCTGTCCTTTCATAGGAGATAACGATGGCCAACTATTTGGTGGCTCCTTAATAAAATGACCACCTCTTCTGGCCTTAGTAGTGGCCGAAGCCTAAAAATAGTTACTACCTGCCATAAAAAAAAAAAAAAAAAAAAGTATTGTTTTGTTTGTGTGTATGTGCGATGCCTACCAGAAATTAAGCAATACTACAAATAACTACCATAATTTCCGGAAGAAAGGCCGCATCAGCGTAAACGCCGCACTCGAGAAAAATGGTGGGAAAAAAATTAAAGTTACACAGAAACGCTGCAATAGATTAAATTGTGTGTGACATCGTCGTGGGCTGTATAGATGCAAAAACTCAACCTAAGTCCTGATATATGACATACCAGTTACGAAAAATCCATGAAATGAAACCATCACTCAAAAATAAAGGTAAGAAATGTATAGCTTCTGTGCCGTTTAGAGACATTTTCAAAAATTTTCCGCTCCCTAATTAAAAACTATCCAACAAGTACTTGTACCCTAACTGATGGGATCTGTATTTGGCAGAATGCCAAGAAAAATCCATTCATGCTGAAGGGGAAATACGTCAGAGTTCGTTATTGCGAGGCAGGTGGAGTCGTTGTCCGCCTTTGAAAAAAAATTGCAGAAAGGCAGGGGTGGAAAGAGGATGGGTCCTGGAAGATTCATCGAATGGCAGAGGAGAGAGACTATTCAAACTGATGAGAATGTTGATTTGAAAGGGGGAAGAATGTTATTGTTCTGAGATCTCGTTTAGGGTGAATAAGGCATGTAGGTCCGTTCAAGGGAAAGAACGTAAACAAAATAACGTTCGCAAAAAGCAACTGAGTGGTCTTTTGTGTGGGAACAGCACCAATCTGTGCACAATGACAAGGCCATCCAAACTATGTACAATGACCATCATAGGAAATATTTTATTTTTAGTGCACCTAAACGCCGCATGGGTAGAAACGCCGCACCCGCTGAAAATTTAAGTTTTAAACACGTAAACACCGTGGCGTTTCTTCCAGAAATTACGGTAATAGTATGCGACTAAAT